CAGTAAACCGCAGTTAGAAATTTCGAGTAGAGACTTGATAACGTGATCACCCTGAGTTGAAGAATTCCATGGTGACAATAGATACTTTGTAATAAAAAAAGAGAAAACTATCAAAAAAATATTTTACTTTACAGTTAAAGCTCATTATAATAAATCCCGTTATAGTAAATTTAATTTATAATTATTTTTCCAATTTATCTATAATAAATTTTATTTAATATAGTAAACTTCTTAATAAAATTTTGATATTAATTATAGTGAACTTATAAAATTTACATATAGAACATTTAATATAAAATTATATTTGATTTATTTAAATAAAGTATCATGTGTAATAATTCAATGACTGCGCGTTGATGCCTTTTCTACATAAAGTAGAATCATATGTAAACTGTATAAGTATTTATCTTATAGAAAAAGAAACTATTTTTTTAATTATTTTAATTGCTGATCATAATTTTAATTTTTCTATTACTTTAATAAAACGCGTAAAATATTCTATTTTATGAAGGCATTTTTATTATTTAAAAAAAAAAATTACAAATTTTTTCAATATATTATAAAATATTAATATAATAAATTAGCGATGTTATTTTTTACAATCTCTGGAAAATCTTTACGTTCCAATATACTAGCAAGTTCATGAGCTTTCTCAATTTGTCCACTAATAACATAAGCTTTAACCATTTCTTCATAAGTACTGGGTTCCCTTGGTACACCAATACGATCAGATGTATCATTAAGATCTATCATATTATTAAATACGGTCTCTGCCCTATCCCATTGACCCAACTGTCCGTAACCTCTGATAAATAAATTTTCAATATAAGGAGTTGATTTCACATCATCTCGCATTAGCATCTCATCATAATATTCTTCCGCTTCCTCGATACGCTTATTAGCGATTAATGCATCAAATATCGCTTGATACGCGTTTTCATCCGGTCGAATGTTGTGAACTGTTTGCATCGAATTAAATATTTGCAAAGCATTTTGTACATCTCCTTGACAAACTCCATAACTATAAATTAAAGAGGCGAAATGTGTAGATTGTGGTATCACTCCATCTTGTTTCATTATATTAAAAACATTCATTGCTGAATGCATATCATAAGGTTCAATTGTAGCGTAAGCATCTATTAATAATTTAAATGTATGCTCAGATGGATTCAATTTGTGCTTTCGAATTTCTTCGAAAAATTCGAGTGCTTTTTCTCTGTTATGTAAGTCCCATGTATAGAATTGAATCATCGAGTTGAATGGTCCAATGCGCAGTTGATATTTTTCAAGCCTTTCCATTTCTCGGAATACTGAAAGTGCCTTTTCTTCCGATTTTACACGAACACATGCTGCAATCAAAGCTCCATAAGTGACCACATTACGTTGAATTTTTAATCGTTTCATCTCTTCAAATATTTCCCATACGGCATCATATTTACGCGCTTTTCCAAGTTTACTGATTAAAACATTATAAAAGTATGTGGTGGCTCTAAAACCACGTCTCTTTATTTCGTTGTAAAATTTAAGGGCCGTTGTCGCTTCATCCGTGTTCCTTTCACCTTCACATACTAAATAATCAGCAATCGCATTCGCATCCGGATAACGTCCTGAATCAATAATTTCTTGATACATCTTGTTTGCACCTTCCAAATTATGACTAGTCGCGTATGCAACAAGCATGCTGTTACGAGCGTAATGCAATGTGTTCTCTCTGATAGGAGATTTCCACTTTTGATGAAAATCGTATGTAAGATTATAAACCTCTAATGCTTTTTCAAGCTCCTTGGCTTTTCCTAAATTTCTTATGGCTTGACTAACAAGTTCAGGCGTAGGTAACAAATCTTCATTAAGCATTTTATGAAATTCCTTCATAAAATGATCGGTATCGAAAACATTTGTTTTACAAAGGTTTGACAAATCAGCTGATCGATTGAATTCTTTGATCGTGGGTTCCCTACCAGCGGTAGGAGAGGTGATCTCTTTTTCATTTTCGAAGGATGTAGAAAGCAAACCTTTCCATTTTTCCAAACTCTCTAAATCCGATAACTCTTTGAATTCATAACTAACTCTCGATAACGTATTGTAAGGTATTGAATTTCCACTTTGTATAACATCATTCGCTATCTCAAATATTCTAGACCTAAGTATGTCCTGATTTTTATTATCTACGTGGTGATAATTTGAAATCGAGGTTTCGAATAGATAATGTATATGAATTGGCTCGAGTTCTTTTAATTGTGGTATCAAGTTACCTTCTTTCTTTAGTATATCATATTTTTCCAGTTCAACGGACTCAATTCTCTTCTTTTTCAATGACCACAGATTATATTTGGCGCTAATAGTATCTTTAAGTGAAAGTCTCGGATCTCTTAACCAAGCAATGTATTTTTCCATATGATCCGGTTGTGATTTAGGATTCATTGGCCTCCATAAATTATTATTGTAATAATTATCCGAAGCATTCATAATCTTCAAGAGGGCTTGACATCCTTTATCAATTTGACCAGTTTGATCAAAATGTTCAAGAATCTTATTTGTTAAATTAATATCAGTGGAGGATCCCATTTCTATCATATCATCCAAAAGTTCAAACGTTCTATCCGGATCTTTTTGAAGCGTTAAATAAAAATAACTCGCTCTCTCCGAATATTTAGGGGGCAACCCTTTTTCCTTCATCCCTTGATATATTTCTGTTGCCTTTTCATAATCCCCATTGTTTGAAAAGTTCAATAATAAAATCTCATGTGTGAATAAAATGGGATCAGGTAAAGATTCATCATTCTTGCATTTTAAAAACCATTCATATGCTATATCTAGCTCACCACGATCACATAGGTCTCTGATAAAATAATGATATGACCATTCGTCAGCCACAAGACCTGCTTCGGGAATCGTTACCTGTAAAACTTCGATTGCGCGTGGTATGTCATTGCAACGCATGTATGCGGAAATCAATTGATTATATACAGATAAAGGTTCGCGTTGGTATCGTAGATTTTGGCCAACCCGCCGGAATTCATTAAAACATTCCAATGCGTTTTGCATGTCACCACCATGACTGTACAATGATATTAAATAACCAAATGTGGATGTCGAAATGATATCATTTGTCTCCATATATTCGAAAACTGCCAATCCATCATCTATCCTCCCGTGATTCGCAAGGGATCGTAATAAAGTATCACAAATATCAACGTCATAATAAACGTTTGGCAGATATTTTGTTTTCTCAAATAAATCCAAAGCAAAGTTCACGGATTTTTCTTTCTGCCTAATAAATTGTTGAATTGTATTTTCATCAGCCGAATTATTCTCTCTCTTGAATCGATTTTCCTGGCGAATCATTATACCTGTAAGTTCAATATCAATCTTACACAAACCTTTTATGACAATACTATAAGTGTCCAAATTTGGTACCACATTATTTTCAAGCATATCATTATAATAATCTATCATCTTTTCACTACTGTAGTGATTTGATTTAGCTTTTGCAATCGTGTCAAATAACAAATTGTAAGTGAATATATTTGGTGTTATCCCTGATTGTTTAATAAAACGAAAATGACGTTCAGACTCGGAAAGAAATCCTTTACGATTTAACTCTCTCATTGAGTTATTAAGTTCATTTATAGATAAAAGATGATCTTGATTTTTTAGTTGCCATATGCTCGATTCATTTTCTCCCCCCATGCCAGCAACATTAAAATGATTTGTCGTCGAGGTTGAAGCTACTGTACTATTAAACCTTTTATTTTCTCGATATCTTGTTGAAACATTATTATTTCTAATAAAATTCGAAGAGGTTGCTCCACCTCTAACATTTCTTATCGAATTTATTCCATTTGAAATACCATTTTGTCTCTTATGATGTTGATTATCACCGATCCAGCTAGAATTTGAGGTACCATTATGTTGTGAATTTTGTTGTTGACCAGATCTATTTGAACCGTTTCCATGAAATTTCCCTCTGTTTGATAATCCTCCGTGATGCCCGAATACTGTACTCGATTTTGCTCCAAATAGGTTGCGTGCGTTCTGACGTGCTAATGCTACAAATGCTGTATTGGTTTTAATATGTTGCATAACCTTCTTACTTTATTATTAAGTTCGAGATATCAATTTATTTTAAAAAAAAAAAAAGTTTGATTTGTATGGGGTTTTCTATTGTGAAAAAAAAAGCTCCTAAATTTTATATATCCTGGAGCGGATTCTTCTATTTTAAACGTAAAAAATTTACAAAATGTTATACGATAAAAGTTTTCAACCTTTAAGGCAGGTCATTCAAAGCCGCAAGGGTACTGTGTACGATATAAATAAGAATTTTTCAAAGAAAAATACCTCAAAGATCAACAAAATACCGTATTTAAAAAAAAATAGCTTTCTCGAAAAAAAAGTTCTTTTATCAGTAGTCAGGTGAGATGATCTCGACCAATCAAAAAGATCCAGTCCCGTATTATCCGAAATTATCATGCAATTTTGTAAAAAATGCAACCTCCACAAGCGAATTTCATACTTTGTGGGCTGATTTATTATGAGTAAATATGAATCATCACTCAAATGATATATATATTATGTGTGTATATGATGTTTCTATTTGCTTTTAAATCTTAAAATGAATGAATAAGGTAAATGACTCAAATCTAATTTTAAATAGAAACAATAATTTATAGACACGGTGTTGTGAAACCACCTAGAAAGAATTTAGAATATTATAAAATTAAATCCAAATATCCTACACTAATTACCTAATAAACAAAAGCGTGATTTTTTTTTTTTTTTTTTTTTGAACAATAAAATAAAAGGTTAAGAGACAAAAAGAGAACAAGGGAGGAACGAATATTGTCCGTAATGCCCTAAATAAACGCATAATTAATTTCCATTAATTAAATCTAATAAACTTCAAATATCTTAAAATTTAATAAATATGATTCTAACAAATGGATGTAATACCACTTATTATTCTTTAAAAGAAGATAAATTGATAATTGTACAATTTGAATATTATTTTCGTCCACTCGCTAATCTTCTTTTTTCTCCTTCCAGCTAGAAATATCACAGAACAAATATATTATTAACCTGTTAGAGTGAAATTTTTTCAGGTAAACATTAATTTAAAGAACAAACATACCACTTTCCTAACCCGTGCTAGTGAGCCAGTAGCACTTTGATTTGCTTTACAATTATCTATATCGTATGGAGGGTTAATAATCACCTCATCCAAAACGATAATTGTCTCTTTAGACCACCTACAAGGTAACCTATAAAACCAATGATTTATAGAATCAAAAAATTTAATCAATCTTTGAGAAAAAAAGAAATTTCTAAAAAGAAATTCCGAAGCCTGATTAATAGATCAACCATTGGGCACCAAAAAAAAAAAAACTTTAAACATCGAAAGGAAAAATAAATAAAATAAATATCCTGCTTTAAAATATACTAAATTTTTGATAACAATCTAATTCTTCTTTACTTACGTCTTGCTCAATGCATCAAAAATATCTTGTGCTTCCTGTGTCACTCCAACTCCAATTCTTGCTAACGCAGCTTGTGTTTCCTTTACGGCCTGTATCTCTCTAGTTTGAATTCTATCCATCGGTACAAACCCCACTGATGGAACGAATGTCGAAAAAATGCTATTGTTTGCACTTTGACCATTTGTCGCAGAGCTGTTCAAATTTGTAACATTAGTATCGATTGAGGATTTACGGTTTGGAAGTTGAACCGCTTCCTTGAGGAAACTGATCTTTAAAATTCGAAAATCATATTTTTGGGAAACGCCTGAATCAGAAGGAGTAGACGCAGATGGGGTCTGTTTTCAAAATAAGAATTAATTAAATAAAATTAAGGATTTGATACCATATATTTATCAATGAATCAAAACTATTCTTCAATAAAAAAAAAAAAAATTCTTAAAAGGATATGAAGCACAACGCAGTTGGTCTTCGGATCGTATGCATAAATCTGTCCTTCATACTCGTCATCAGTTACAGTTTTTACCCTGATTGTGAGTCCAAGTGCCCATTCCAAACCTTTTTGTTGCTGTGACTCTCGAAGATCTACATTCGAAACGTTATTACTAGTAGCTGTAACAGCATTTGAATTGCTGTTTTGGTTATTAGCATTTCCAACCCGTTGGCTAACATTGTCAGATGGGGTTCGAACTGGAGTATGGGGCTTTGTACGTTGCATGTTGAAAAAATGAGCGATAGATTAAATATAACGGTGATTGGTATTTGATAAATAAAGGCGCAGGATTGCTATAACAACCGAATGTCACATGATTTCCATTGTTCTCTTTATATCAACTTCCATTTGTAGCAACGGGGGTCCAACTTAGGGTTACACAAGTGTAGATATAGAATTTATATGTATATGTATATTTGGGTAAAATTAATTTGAATCCTGCCCATACTTTTATACTAACCCTATCAATCCCCAAGTTGTACAAGTTGTACAAACAAACGTCACGTGCAATTCTCAGCCACGTGAGGAATAATATAAAAATGACCTTTCGTTTACATCTTTTCTTTGCTTAAAGAATTCATTTTCTGAAATGGTGGTAAGTTTCGCCGAGATAGTTTCCATTACTAAAAGCCACATTTATTTAATTTAAACCTTAAATTGATGCTGATTTAGTTGGCGTTAATTCTTTTATATTGATTATGGATCGTATCATTGTTGTAAATTTCAGTTGGTTTTGGTAATAGGCGACCTTCACATTCCATATCGAGTACACGATCTGCCTCTCAAATTCAAAAAACTTTTGGTATTGTGAATATTATATTTAAAAGCTTTAAATTTGTATTAAACCTGAAATAATAATATATATACATATATTTTTTATTCATAACCATAATTTCGATAGGTTCCAGGTAAGATACAACAGATTATATGTACGGGCAATGTGTGTGATAAAGAAACCTATGATTACTTGCGGACTGTCGCTGCTGATGTTCATGTCGTTAAGGGGGATTTCGATGAGGTACGGTTACATTCGAATTTATTTGAAATTCGAGAATTATCTACCAGTTTGTGTAAGGATTTGTAGCAAATATCATTATTAAATATTAGTGAACACCGCTTATAATTCTTTCTAGTTCCCAAATTGGCCTCTTTCCAAAATTATAACTCATGGACCTCTTCGCATTGGTGTTCTACATGGACACCAAATAATTCCTGTTGGAGATGCTGAATCGTTATCGATCGTAGCGCGTCAAATGGACGTGGACATTTTACTAACGGGTCACACACATAGATTCGAGGCAATTGAATATGATGGTAAATTTTTTGTTAATCCGGGTAGCGCGACAGGTTCTTATTCTGGGTTTAGTTCAGAGTGAGTATATCGTTTAATATAAGATTCTCGTCATTAATGGAATTTTCACATTCTTTAATAAATTGGGGGTTTTTTTTTCGTTATTATAGAGATGTCAAACCATCATTTGTACTCATGGATATTCAAGGAATTGTCGTGGTTACATATGTTTATCAATTAATTGATGGTGAAGTTAAAGTAGACAAGATTGAATATAGGAAAACTTATGATACAAATAGAGTTTTGTGATTTAATCACAATTTTGTTTTATATATATAAATATATATATACATTTTTCTTTTCCCTTTTTTCCCTTTTTTGTATTTTTTTTTTTTTTAGATTATAATAGCTATCAATTTCTCGTGACTTGTCTGACTAATATATTTATAAATGTATTTTTTATTATTATTATTATATTTTTTTATTGGGCACAATATTAATGTTGTTAAAAAATAATAAAAAGGATGCTGCAATAAGAATTATTTAATTTACGAGATCAATATTCATATTTTATTATATAGCGATAATAGTATAGTTATAAGAACGAATTTGAATATTTGTATTTGTGTACGTAAATCACGAAATTTATAATCCGAAAAGCTATTTTTATAGCCAATCATGTAAAAGATGGTTATTTGTGCACATGATGTGCATTAGAAATATATAATGGAATTCAAGGAATTCAGAAATTGTCTCGCTCTACTATCTTTCAGGATACCATTACAATCTTATTTTATGTTTTCTAAAGCGTCTACATAAAATTTTTACCAAAAACTCTTCCTTAAAAACCCTCATTATATTATTTCAAAGTTAACCTTATTTCTACCATTAATACTCAATTCTACTCTTTTTTTGTAAAGTAAGGATAACTTTCATATAATACTTTTCGTTACGAAAGACTTCTCCTTTTGTATGTTTGTAAGTAATCTTCAAACTGCTTACATTACAGTAGCTTTACGAAAGAAACTTAGCTTTCGTTGCTAACATTAAAACACTCACCCAAGATCCAACCAACATGCAAATTCCAAAAGGTACGAGCGTCACTACTCAAGCTGGGCCTAGTAACTCACAAAAAGGGAAGGCTAGAGTGTTAGCAAGCAGCCCAAAACCTGTATCGAACAATAATCGTCGAAATGGTGAATCACAAGCTCCACTTCCCGAAGCCGACGAGCGTTTTGCGCGCGTAACGTATCTACAAAATGGGCGTATAGATACCTACCAGCTTAAATCCAAACTAACGGAATACTTGGGAAATAATGCTTCCATGTATTGGGTAACTTTGAAACGATTAATCTACTGTAAGATTCGACGTATTGACTTTGATCGAATTGTGAGACCTCTATTTGATAAGGAGCACTGTAAGTATTTTGATTTTCTTTATAAACAAAAAAATAAATTTATGAATTTTGAAACTTTTTTTTAATCGTGAGGTTTTTTTTATGTTATGTAGTGGACCTCCATAATATGTTATTATTTGGTATATTCAGAAATTGTCTCAACAAGGAAGGACCGCCTCCACAACCCGAATCGCATTCGAAAAAGCGTGGACGAGATGGTGATGAAGAAACAAGCGTCTCGGCACCTGACTCAAAAAGAAAAAGATTAAAGGAGATCATCATGGGGTTGCCAAAGGATGAGAGAGAAAGAATCAAAGATATCGCGAAGGCATGTAAAACTAGGTTTTGTCAATAAATTAAAATTAATACATTCTTATAATTTATCCAATTAGCTAATTAGCATTTATTTATCAAAAAAAAAAAATTAGAACCGTCAGCATGAAGTACATTCTTTCACTTCTTCTACATCATTACCACCGCCGAAAACTGAACGACTCCCTCGGTACGATATCCAGGATGGGGTATTTCGGCCTCAATGTAAGGCAAACTTGTTTGAATAGGTTTCTTGTTTCTTTTATATTAAATTTATAAACAATTTTTTTTTTGTTAGCCGATGGCATGCATGTACCAACGTGTGCTGAACAAAAAGCATTGCCTGATCACCGGGCATTATTCGGGAGATTAAATGAAATAGCACATTCAAACGGACTAAAAAATGTCTCCGAAGATTGTGTCCAGTTGATGAATTATGCGTTGGAGGTTTAAATTTAATAAATCCTAAATTCTTGTTTTTATTAACCTTTTTTATAATGATGTTAACCAAATTTTGGATTTGGATATTGTTTTCAACAAACAGTCGCATTTAAAGAATATACTGGGTAATTGCATTCAAAAGACGAGGTCTGGTAGTTCGGCTTTAGCTAATGGCAACTCGGCAAGAATTGGCCGGATGTATCAAGATAAGACTTCGATCACGGGACAAGATATGGCTTTTTCTCTAGATATGTCACCCCATATCCTAGTCGAGCCTTCATTAGCTCGTGAACGATTGACTTCTGTAGTGTTGGACGATAACGAAGTGTGCGTCGAGGATGAAGATGGTATCGAGGAGTCCGCTGCAGCGGAGAACAGCTTGTTCTCCGCTTAGATAATCTCAGGAGACGGAGGAGGGTAAATAATTATAATGTTGCTCTATAAGATGTTTTCAGTTTTGATTCTTTCTCTCTCATCCTTTGGCAACCCCATGATGATCTCCTTTAATCTTTTTCTTTTTGAGTCAGG